ATCATTTCTGAACCGATCACATTGATCTTTTGAGCCTTTGGAATGAGACAAAATGTTTTTTTATAATTTATCAAGTTCACTGTAAAATATCCACACACAAAAATCTACATTATAAATATTTGATTGTAATATTAGAAAGAACGGATGGGAAAGCGGAACTTTGTCATTGTCGTGTTTTAAGGGGGGATGAAAACACTGACGGACTGATGTAGGCGCAGTGGTAGCTTCCGGTTTAGAAGGAAAACGTCAGACGTGAGTATGTGACAGTTTCTGCAACTTCACTCATTCAAGTAATTCAAATGAATGGTTCATTATTAAGTCAGATGATAGATGGAGTAAACTGAGCTAACAATGCTAGTGTTGTGCTAGTGTTGTCTCTGACGTACAGCGTTTACCTGCTAGCTAACAACACAACTTCTTTCTTAGAGCGTAAATACAGCGGAATCAAGTCTTCGCACGAGCGGAGACACACTTCTATATTTATATTATATGTATATATATTTATACTGTGATGATATGATATCCCGTAAAGCGACACACAGCGTTTAGGTTAGCTAGTTAGCTTCCAGCCTCTGTCAGCTGAGCTGTAGAGATAAGATAAGGTTCAGAGAGTTTCATCATCTCAGGCACTGACTCACTCTCTGAAGTGTAACCTAACACACGTGCTCTCTGTGGACTCAGCAGCTGATTCCCAGACTGACAGTGTTGAGAGGAGCCATGCCTTTCCTGCACGGCTTCAGAAGGATCGTCTACGAGTATCAGCCGCTGGTGGATGCTGTGATGCGTGTTGTTGGACTGGAGGAAGGAGATGATGGAGGTGGTGAGGAGGAGGAGGAGGACAGGTAGAAACATGAAGACATGAATATTGTTTGATTGATTGGTTATCTTCTATTTTATCTGGTGTTCTCAAAGTTTTAATTTCATTCTTCCCAAGGACAAAGTTACTACTTCTAAATTGTAATGTGTAGCCGAGTGAGTTTTAACATAGTATTACTGCTGTATTAATGTACCCCTGTCCAAAAAAACATTCAGAAATCTGATTATCTATATACTAGCCAATGGAATTCATATTCTTTATATTAAAAAAAAGTCACTTGCAGCATGTTGCATATTATTAGTGTTCAAAGTGACTCCCAGGTATTCTAAAGTAAGATCCTAAGATCTCATCATTTAAATTTTTACCAGAGCCCAGTTTGTAGTACTCCTCGTGTGTTCTAACTCAGACTTTGACTTTAACAGTATCTCTTTCTGCTCCCCTGTACAGAGTCAGGACTCCAGAGGATGAGTCCAGTGGGCGTAGTTCTCTGGTGGAGCTTCTGGAGCGAGAGTCTCAGTCAGAAGTGTTTGTACAAGGCATCAGCTACGCTTTGTTTAAAGTGGCAGAGAGGGGACTGGTGTACGCAGCTGAAATCCTGCTACGCCACGGAGCTTATCTAAACTTTGAAGGTGAGTAATGATTTGAGTGTGGAGTAAATAATGTAGATAAACATGCAGTAAAATTACAAAGGATTTTTTGATAGGCTGTTGTGGCAGACAGACAAAATCACGGGTGTCCTGTCATACATCAATAATAATGCAGCAGATCTGTGGCTGAGATGGCTTATTTGTAGGTTGTCAGTTTGCCTATTTTAACAATTAGGTATTTTTATTTTGGGCAAATTTGTCCTCAAATTATGTGCAGTGCAATCACTAAAAACATGTTTGAATAATATTAATATTTTTTTTCTATTCTCCAGACCCAGTGTCGTACTACAATCCTCTACATGTAGCAGTTATGCGGAACAGGCCAAGTATGGTGAGGCTGCTGGTCGGGCATGGAGCAGACATTGAGAAGAGGGACAGGGTGAGAGAGCTGCCTTAACTGGAATCAACACATATCTCTGTTATGTCTTGTCTTTATTGGACACTGTCTGATTTTAATTTTTTTTCTCCTTTTTCATTTGATGTAAAAACTCTATGCTGTATGTTACTTGTTAGATCCATGAGAGCAGTCCATTGGATCTTGCCAGTGAGGAGTCAGAGAGACTCCCCTGCCTGCTCACTCTGCTCGACTTGGGCGCCAATGTGAATGCTAGCGATAAAAATGGTAAATTTAAATCTTAATTCTAGAGCCTGACGATAAAATTGCCGATATATAAAACTTAATTTTACAGAATAAAAATGCAGAAAAGATGTGCTTTTATGTTTACGTTTGACATAGAAATGTTTATTTTCCTCATTTTCAAGTTCTATGTATTTGTTTTGTGTTTTCTTTCAGTTTTGTTTATAATAAGGTTCATTATCAAGCTGTAAAATATCAGGCCTCAATTACATTTCTTTGTCAGAAGGGTTTGATGACAAAATCTATTATATAATATAAATATATATCAGCCGGGATATCTATATTGGAATAGTTTTACTCCCTAATATTGGTATCTGCCTCCAAAAATCCATATTGTTAGGGCTCTACTTAATTCTGTAACAATCATTCATTCATTCACGGTGTAAACTGACTGTTTTGGTCTTGACTCCAAAGGAAAAACACCTCTGCTCCATGCCATGGCCAGCAGCGATGGACTCACAGTGAACAACACAGAGAGCATCCAGCTTCTTCTTCAGAGAGGTAGTGACAGTGAAACCCACTTCATCCTCACTTTGACTCATAGTAAAGTTTGGTCACCAAAATATATCTTTCAAACCAGGTCACAGTTAAATCCCTACATCCAGAAACTAAAATATGCACATAAACCCTTTAACGGAAATTAGGGGTGTAATGGTACACAAAAATCACGGTAAAACAAAAAAACAGTCTTATAAATAATAGTAAAATAAATATCCATTAAGGTGCAGCATGTAAAAAGTTAACTGTACTTAAACTGCACCATTATTGTATTGTATGATTATCATTATTAAATATATGTATTTTTTTCTTCATAAAAAATGTACATGTTCACATAGTTGAGGGTTCAATGCTCTGCTGGTTCTAACAATGTCTCTGCTGTGGAGAACACTTTCAGTGAGTGAACGGTCACATGTCCGCTGCTATAAAAACACATATGTTGCTCATTATTGTTTTGATGCGGTCTGAATTGTTTTCAATCTGCAGCTTTAATGCTGCAGATAGCTGGGTTTGCACTGAACTCATTTTTCCCTGTCCCCCTATGTTAGTGTTATTCTTAATGTTAGTGGACATAACTGTGGTGATGCCGTTTCAAACGAGTCGGCATATTCGATGTCCGACCAGCTACATGTCAAATTGCAGTTATGAATGTTGGCATACAGCTTTTGTACGATCCTCTTGACTAAGTCTGTCGTCATAATGGTGACTGTGAAACTGAAGTGTTCCCACGCAGCAGACTTAAATGATGAGGGAGGGTCTTCACACTCCTGTTTGTCTGATTTGATCTGATGATTACTGTGATGCTTTCTTCCCTACAGGTGCTGATGCGAAGGCTGTCACTGTACACGGTGAAGCAGTCGAATCCTTGTTGGTGTTTCTAATTAAGGAGGCTCTGGATGCCAGCGCGGAGGATGCTGCAGCGATCGGTAGATTCTGCCTGAAAACCACACAGCTTTTGCTGACTCATGGTGTGGACCCCAGCTGCTGCATGAATGAGGATGGTGATTCCTCCCTGACACAGACAAGCCTGGAGCACTTTGACAATTTCTTCCCACTGGCTGTGCTCTTGATGCAGAGCGGCGCTGCTTTGCAGTGCACCTATCATGGCGACTCCTGTTGGTCAGCCGAGAGCCTCCTTTTCGGGCGGCTCCAGGAAGCCCTTCAGCAGTGCTCTGATCAAAGTCATGCGTCCGAGCTCCTGGAGCAAGCTGAGGTGTTGCTCGACCTAGCGAGGGTAAATGTCCCCATGCTAAATCTGCCTTTAAGCTCAGAGCTTCCTGCACCTGGTCAGGACCCTCACGCTCAGGCTCTGGTGGACCTGCAGAGGAGGGTGTTAGAACATGACGCCAGCCCCCCTGCTTTGCGATGCCTCTGCAGGGCATTCATACGGACCCACCTGCAGCCCTGGCCACTGGAAGACAGAGTCAATGCCTTGCCATTACCAGACAGACTGAAAGACTTTCTTCTACCTGAGCGCACATATACACCAAAACCTGGCTGGGACTGCTTCAAGCCCCAGCTTTCATAGCAAACACTGATGATGCAAGCTACAGGCTGGTTTCTGTTCTACCCAAAATCTGATTAAAATGTTTTTTAAAACACCCGGGAAGGAATTTAACCAGAATGACACTCAGTAGTGTTCATACCTCCACCAAGGCCCAACAGTCTCTTGATGTTAGTTTGATACCCCTCAAAGTGCCATTACACTTCCCCTCCACCCATTCACACATACATTCAAACAGTGCATCTATGGACAACACTTTCTCACACCTGGCTCACAAACTGCCGAGCCAAAACTCCATCTTTTCCACTGTACACTATTTACTGAGCCATCAAGTGAAAAGGTTGAAAATCCTCCTAAAGCACAATGTTAAAGAAAGTAAAATGAATTCCTGGATCCCCCCCCTAGATCAGCATCAAAATTCAATGAGTCATAGGTCATGCCCCACCGCTCCATAAATTTTTACATAATCATGTATAACACATAAACAAACAGATGAAAACATAATCTCCTTGGCAGAGGTAACCTAATACCTGGGCTCAGGTCCCAAAAAATATTAAGCTAAACCTTAGACATCACTGAGGCCTTTGTTGAATTCTCATTGTGTGTTGTCTTTGCCAGATTTACAGGCAAAACAAGTGTATGTTTCCCTAATATACAACATTTCGTATGTTCAAGTTGGTGTTTGAGTTGTTGCCAAGTTATTAATGTTGAACTGTTGAACAAAATTCAAGTGTTGAGGAAGCTGCAGTTCAGAATAAAAGGCACTGGATGGCAGTGTTGCTCCTGCAGATGAGAAGTAGCTCAGCTAGCAGGGTCAAAGATTTAGTTATTCTCAGTGCAGCCTATTAAAGTTGTTCTAGCGCAGAAGAGTCCATCTATATTTTATCTCCTCAACATGATGGTGATGTGTTGTGGAATTTGTGTGTCATCTCGCTCCTCATGAAGACGGACCAATAAAACAGCAGCGTGTTTCACCACCTGTGGTCTGATGTGTTTATCCACTAACTAAATGTTGACATTATTTTCTGTTTGTCCACATATTACTGTTTTTAATTGACCAGGTAGTGGCAGCGCAGAATAGGACTCTTAAAACTGACTGACTAAATGTTAAAGGAGGAAATCAGTGCTGTGTATTTGCCTCGAGTTTGAGAGCAGAAACCAAACATCAGTAGAGAGCTCCTGCTAAAATAAAGAAACAGGAATAAGATGCTACAACACTGCAGGAGTGCAAGTCGATGTTTTGACGTGGTTTTACTGAGACACAACGTAGCTGCAGTGGCTGCTGGTGTGGAAAGTTTTACTAAGCATTATAAATTCTGATGAATTCAGAGCCCCACTCCTCTTTTTTACAAATCTGCACCTCCTCATCTTTGGGAATAACCAAACATTGCCTGGTAGAAGCATGTTAAGATACAGGAACGTCAAGGGGTACGTATGTGTTTGCATCCATGTGTGTGTGATGAGCAAACTAAATAGGACATTGTGTTACACAACTAACCCCTTCCTGACATTGCTGAAGCTGGAGTGGCTCCAAGGCTTGCAGGCGCTCCAGCTCCTCTTGGTTATCTAGGTCACAGCCTCTGAGGAGAAGAGCCTCGGCAGCAGCAGCAGCAGCCCTGCATGACACACGCTTCACTCTCCTGTCTGTCTGAATCTCCCTGCACAGGCTTGACAAAACCTCAACGCTGGCCTTGGTCGAATGAGGGAGCGAGGGAGGGAGAGGGTTGCAGGAAGCAGAACAGTGAAGAAGAAGAAGAGGAAGGAGGGAAAAAAACGTTAAAGATACAGACGGCATATGTGGAGTGGTTGTGTGAGCACTCGTGGAGGACACATGGAAATGGCAACATTGGATTATATTTACGCAATACACTAGATGTAGGAACATAATCCATCCAACCAACAATCACAATGCTGAGAGATGGGGGGGGGACTGCCTTCTTCCATAAAGAGTCCAATCCCTGCTTGTAGAAGGTGATAGAAAAGAGATAGTGGGGGAGGGCTAAGCCAGTATACTCTCCATCCAGCATTTATTGGAAAACAGTGCGAGTGAAGCTTGGTACTGAAATTAGTTATTGATCTATTCTCTCCCTGAAGCCCATGGGTCTTTCCCACCACACCTGCTCATTCTCTCACAGCCTTTTCTTTCACCACATCCCATTGTATCTTTCAACCTTTTGCTTCAAGCTCCAGCTTTGATTCCTGCTGGTGCTGTAGCTCTTTTATTGTCTTTAAATCAAGTATGACACCCCCTAATGTGAAGTCCACTAGAAAGTTTCATGTTAAGAAGATAAAGTCTGTATGGACTTTGAAAAAAAAAAGAAAACAGTTAAAGACTTCTACAAAAAACATGTTTACACGCTGAAATAGTCAATTGTTCCATCACTGTCTCAGTGTCAAATAACCTTGTATGTTACTTGCTTGGATTTTTGCCATCTGTACTTCAATATGTTTAGATTACATCTTTCCATTTTTAAACCATGTTTTTGTTATTTCTCATTCTCTATTCTTCTCAGTATCCACTAGTCCCTGACACCATTTATTCTCATCATTCACACCACACACTAAAGAATATGAATGCTTCATGTCAAACTTAATGAGAACATAGTAAAGTGTAGTACAAGGGCATTTAACAAAACATAACAGACTAGATGTCCCAAAGAATAAACCCACAAAACATTCATTAAAATTGATTGAAAGAAATTCTTACTGACTGTCTCAATCATTTTGTATTTTACTTCATTTTGTTTTCATCCATAATATTTTTATTATTGTATTTTGTGCCCTAATGTTGCCTAATGCTCTGTGATCTTCAAGTTGCTTTTAATTGTTTTCTATCATTTGAATGATTCATTTTTAAACTTGTGCAGCTCCTTGTAACTGTGTGAAAGGTGCTATATAAATCAAGTTTATTCTATTAGGCTGTTGTGTGAGCAAGATAAATATCAAAACCATGCACGTACTCTACTGCATGTTTACTGACAGGAGCCATGAGTCTACAACCTGAAGAATAAAACAATTAGTGTAAATATGACACATGTATTTCATCCTGTTTTGTTTGTTTACGTCTCTGCTTGTTGGCTGAGTTCCCTGCTCTGGCCCCAACCTTTTCATTAACCACCACGTCACCAACTGACAAGACATTGTGGTCTGTTCCGGGGCCTTTTCTTCTAGAGAGCATGAGCCTGAGCAGAGTGAGCACATCTCCTTGTCTTTCACTAGACATTGTCTAGACACGGGATAATTGCAGACATCACTGAACACTCAGCTGCTGCCTCTAACCCTCATGGGAGTCGAGGTGGACTTTGGAGGGAAAAATGGCCAGCAGTCGTTGTGTGTATGGGGGTCACACGGCAAGCTCACACCCCTTTTTTATTTAGATTGAGAGTTTATGTGTTTGCCTGAACAGCTACACACTGCACTGAATGTGTTGTGCTGGTGGTGTTGGTGTGAAGGCAAGCGTGGATTCATCTGTGTGTGGGAGAGAGAAGGAGCGAAAGAGAGCGAAGACGTTGAGACACACAGTGCTCATAACCGCAGATGTGGTGACTTCATCCGAAAGAAATGTACCCCGTCCTATTGCTCCGCCAGTGTCGATGGAGCTCACTGAAATGAATGGCTCTTATTGCTAAGACAAAAAAATAAGATCTCACTGGGTGTCAACATATTCTGTTCTTTTCTTTTCTTCTTCTATACTTATATATCAGATTGTTGTTGTTTGGCTTAGACTGTGTGGAGCTTGACAGAGTGTGTTTGTATGTGTGTGTCTGTGTGTGTGTGTGTGTGTGTGTGTGTGAGTGTGTGTGTGTGTGTGTGTGTGTGGTGGGGGTGCTGGTTGGTCTCTGAGAGATGGTCGCAGGTCGCTGGGTTCACACAGGGCACAGGACTAATCTCAGTGGGGGTGGATTGGATGCAGGATAACTGAATCCTGTCGGGGCAGGCCACCTTCTCATTCTGCTCCAGGTGCTGGTTCCTCCTTCATATTGATACATACTGACTGTGTTCACCAATCTAAGGGATTTTCAATACTTTTTTGGATTATGTGTTTTAAGATTTAAATGTATGACTTAGTTGTTGCACAATTTCAGTACTTTTTGTTCACTTGTATATAGTTGTATGAGTCTGTTTTATGTTTTTTTAAAGGTACCATTCCAAATTGTGTTTAACCACATGCCTGCAGTTTAATGTGCGTCTGTGCTTTTCTAATCTCTTTGGCACAAAAGGACAAAAAACTGCTCCAACAAGTCAAGTAACCTCACTGTTACACACAAGCATTAACACAAGTCTCCTTTTGTTCTTCAAGGAGGAAATCATTTGAAAGTGTAGCGCACCAAAAAGTTACGCTTTCCTCCTCCAACTCCTATTTTAGAAGCACACAAAATCCACCACCCTCTACATTTCTACAACTGACGCCATTTCACAGAAATTCCAGACAACTGGCGCCTGAGCTCTGCCTCCAAGAAGGACATGATGAATAGGACACACCCTTGGTATGCTAGTGAATGGTAGAATATATGGCACACTGCAGTGTTACAGCCTAGATTCATTACAGCCTCTCGTCCTCACTCTTTTCAGTGGTGTTCTCTCCCTGCTTCTTCTCCCCCTCGCGTTTCATGCTGCTCGCCTATTTTTAAAAAAGCCTGAATTTGAGTGAAATGCACTGAGGCACCAGTAAGGCGAGCTACAGCTCTTTCCAGCACTGGTTCCTGATCCACCTCTTTGTTGTGGTCTATGCATGCCTGCTCTAGTCACATGACTGCGTTTCTATGGCAACTCGGGTTTGAGTAATCATTTGCGTTACGACCTTTATTCCCTTGAGGAAAGGGGAGGGGGAGGTTAGACTGAGCCTGTAGAAAGAGGGAGCAGGAGGAAAGAGAAAAGACAGGCAGAAGGGGAGCGGCAGAGAGGCACAGGGAAGGAAAATAGGCAAAAACAACGGCTGCAGAGGGAACATTTCTCCCTTTCTTGCCTTTAAACTTCCTATTTTATCTCTTTCTCTTCAAGCTGCACGCCAACCTCTGCTGCACCATTTTCAGCAGTTGGGAAAAATACTTACAAAGCCTGACGTTCAAGTCTGAGGTTGTCTGCTTCAGTTTTTCACCATTATGTCTTTTAGTGCTGTGACTCACTGAGTGACTGGAGCAGGCGAGTGAGTTTGGTAGGAGAGGCAGCAGCAGGCATGTATGTTTCATAAGGGCCTTCACACACACACATAGATAGAGAGACACGCACACATGCACACACACACACACACACACGCACACACGCACACACGCACACACACACACACACACACACACACACACACACACACACACGCCTCCCCTTCAATTTCTTCTCAGAGGAAAAGCAGCACTGTGCCACATGTGCAAGTCTCAGCAGAAACAGATTCTGTATGTTCCTGTTTCTTGCTCTCCCGGCTGTGTTGTCATGGTTACCGAGCTAGTTCACCAAGGCACGCAGCCTCTCTCTCTCACTCTCTCTCTCTCTTTCTCTCTCCCTCTCTCTCTCTCTCCACCGTTGGGTGATTCAACCCATCAGTTGGGTTGTGTCATCTCCTAGATGGAGTTTCTAGCTCCCACATCTCCTAAAGGGAGTATTTTCAGTTCGGGCCTGTCTACCAATTGGATTCTAGTTTGAGGATAAATTGAATAATTGTGTGTGTACGTGCATCTGTGTGTGGGTGGGGTAAATGGGTGGGTTTTGTGGGTGTCTTTTATCAGCAGTGGGGGGATCCAGCATTGACAGGAGGTGGGCTCCACTGGGGGGCTGGTGATAGACACTATGGGGGTTGTGGGGTGGTGCTGATGGTGCTGGCTGCTTCCAGGTGCCTGTGACTGGGGCTGAATATGAATGAGGGGCCCCGGTTCTCCAGAGATGGCGGCTGGGGAGAGAGCTGCTAAAACCAGAGACCAGTGGAGCCTAGCTGGCTGAGAGGCCCCCACAAGCTGCTGACAGGAGCTGCAGCTAGCCATCACGTTAATTAGCGTTTTTACTCTAGCAGCGGCAAATAGGGGGAGTGGGTTAGAGAGGGATGTGGGGGTGGTATATGACTCATAGACACAGTATGGTTTATTCATGATGGAGGAAGGGGATGTGTGTGTGCGT